TGAACTGTCAAAATGCATGTCATAAGTGCAGTTTTCTTTTTAGAAACCCTTGAAATAAATGATTGAAAGTAGGTGACTGTTGCAATTTACTATGAAAATTGAGCCCATCATATGTATGTCGATCACTCAAATTTCATAGTAAAAAATTTATCCCGTGATCTGCGTGAAAAATCGTGTGACTGGTATGATGTATTTAAGTTTGGTTGCAAGGCATATATTTATAGAGCTTGTGTATTTATTATTATCATACAATTTTAATTTAGGTTTTCCGACACCAATATAAATCAGACTATTAGAGAAATGATTTTCAGAAAAAAGGAATACATATTTATATATGTACACATGTACGCAAATATATAAATTGCATGTTTGTAAATCTTAAACTTTAAAGAATGTTGCTCTTTTTGTTTGTCACTGTTAATCGGCAATCATGCAAACCATCCAGAATTATTTCTGAGACTTTATATGAAATTGAAAGTAACTTAACTTTTAAAGATTTGTTGTGCTTGGCTGATAATAAATATAAATCAAATAAAATAGTTAGAGTTGAGGTTCATTGCTCTGGAAGTAATCAATATCATTTTCATGCATCTGGAGTAGATGGTAGTTTACATGCTTGTGAGCCAAATTTGCGAAACATCTCTCATGTGTGATACTTTATTAGTGACTCAGTTGAATCTTCTAATAGTCCATTAGATGCATTTGGTAATAATGAAAATGCATTTAATTTAATGATGAATAAAGCACAAGAAAGAAAACTCCCTGTGCAAAAAGATAATAACAATAAACGAAATCAATTACATAATGATCTTATAAATAGTTTATCTAAAATGAATTGTGGATGGTTTAATGGAAATAAAGCAACAATAGGAGAAGTATTTTTAAACAAACTTACTACACTCATTTGGTATATTGATGAACATCATTCTAAGTTTTTTGATCGTAGTTTATATTTTCCAAATTTTATTAAAGAATTAGCGCCATATACAAATAATCAATTTTATAAAAAAGGTTCACATCATAAAAAAGGAATGTTAGAACGAGATAAATTAGAACTATATATTAATGCTATCAATGAATCATTAGATCAACTGTGGGCTAGTAGTACTAGTTGGAGACCTTTTATAACACAAGTACATCAATTTATTAGTACTATTCAAAAATATATTGAATATCTTGAAAATGTAAATAAAAGTGGTATAATAACTAGAAATGCAATGAATCCTGCTCGTAATTCAATTGATAATAGTACTGTTGAGTTAAAATCAGAATGCTATTTTAGTGAAGTTAAAGAACAATATCAAGAATTAGCAACTATAATAAAGAACTCAAATGATTATGAAGTTATTTCAATTGATAAATACTTACCATCAAATCGTAATCAAAAATATAACTTTATTACTAACTTAGCTTTAGATACTACTATAATGTTATATAGATATTATCATAGAAATTATCTTGGAAGCTTAAATTTTGTATGGCGTATACCAACCAATCCAAATATAAGATCTGAAAATTTACAAGCACAAGCAATTATTTCTATTCAAAATAAGCTACCACAATATTTTACTAGAGCAATGCGAAAAAATATATTTGCAAAGGTAAAATATATTACTTAAATTTATATAAATTTTATATTTAATTATTAACTATTTAATTATTTAAATAGTATTCTCTATTAAGTAAAATTACACCTCATGTATTATCATTATTACAACATGATTTAACAGGAGATGTTAGTGCTCTAGAAAATTCCCAATCTAAGGAGTTAGATGAACATCTTAGATTAATGCTTGAAATTGGAGATTCAGATATATTAGTAGATTTAAGAATTAATAATGGTTTCAAAGGTACTAAATTTGATATATTTTGGGATGAATTAAAGTTATATTTTGAAGAGGTAATATTAAAAAATTTTAAAATAATATATTATTAAAATTAAAATTAATTATACAGTATCAGACAGCAAAAAACATCTAATTTTTTTTAAAAATGTTAAATTTGAAGATTATATAATCAATTCTAATTGGTTAATTTATGTATAATTAATTTTAATTGGTTAAAAATATATATAAAGCTTTTTTTTATATAGTAAATACCAAAATTTTGATTATATATATACTTTAAGCTATAATAATTTTTAATTTTATAATTGTCTGGAGTATAGTGACAGACACTCAATTTCTATACATTAAATAATACAAAAGTTACATTTTTAATGTGTTTCAACTATCAAATGTTCCTTTTTGATATATTAATGTAATTATTATAATTAACATATCAATAATGTAACTTCAAAATTTTTTGTCTGTCCCGCCACATGACGCGTGATTACAAAACTATTTTGAAAACAACAATTGATTACCGGTACAGTCAGAGATATTACCAAATACGGT